ACTCAGCATGCAACAGGGAAGGAGCAAAGTCCAAGACATCCCTTTCAGGAAGGAAGGAGAGAAACAGAAAATTCACAAAAATCTTGACATTTCAGGCACTACTGTCCAGAAAAGGACTGGTTCGCACTTAGGACTCTCAGAACCTAATATGACTCAGTGAGATTGAGAGAAGAAACAATTCAAAATGTCCTCCACACCCCCAAGGAAAAAGCAAGAGCTGAGAAGAAAGGCTTGAGAGATGCCTAGAAGCTCTAGTCTGGTAAAGGCCATTATCCCTGGAAGCCAGGATACAAAGACTGGAAGAGAAAACTTTCTTTTAAACGCCCAGGCACCAATGCAAGGTTAGCAGGATCACAAGAATCAAGAAAACATGACACCATAGAAGAACTAAAAAAAGGTCAAATAACCAGCTACAAAGATATAAAAATCTATGAATTGCCTAAAAAGAATCCAAAATAATCTTAAAGAAACTTAGTAAACTACACTGAGAGACAAACATCAAAAAAACAATGTATACACACACTGATACATACGAAATCCAAGAAGTGGAAAACAGAAACACAAACCATAAAAAAGAAGTAAACAGAAATTCTAGCAAGAAAAATACAGTGATTGAACTTAAAAATTCAACAGAGAGAGTTTCAAAGGCAGACTCAAACAGAAAAAAAGAATCAGTGAATTAAAGGCAGATCATTTGAAATTACCCAGTCACAGAAACAAAAAGAAGAAAACAGTAAAGAAATCCAATGAAACTTACTTGACATCATCACTAAATCAGTACATGCACTAGGGAGTTCCCTCAAGAAGAGGAAGTATTAGTAAGCTTATTTCAAAAAATAATGCCAAAGAAATCTGCAGAGGAAATGGACATTCAGATTTATAAACCTCAAATAAAAGCAAATATGTTGTCCTAAAGAAAAGTACACCAAGTAATACTGTTATTAATATATTAACATGAAAGAAGCTAGAGAAAAGAAATTCATCAAATAAAGGGGACATCCTCCTCCTCAAATGATAATATCAGAGGATTTCTTGGCACAGACTTTTTAGGTTGGGAGAGTATATGGTGATACATTCAAACTGCAGAAACAAACAAAGCTATGAACCAAAACTACTGACTGTTTTGTTGCTGTTCAGTCGCTAAGTCATGGCCCTTTCTTCGCAACTCTATGTACTTCACCAACTGCCCGAGTTTGCTCAACATCACGCTCACTGAGTCCATGATGCTGTCTACACATCTCATCTGCTGCTGTCCCTTTATCCTTCTGCCCTCTGTCTTTCCCAGCATCAGGGTCTTTTCCAGTGAGGCGGCTCTTGTAGCAGGGGGCCAAAGTAATGGAGCTTCAGCATCAGTCTTTTCAACAAATATTCAGGGTTGATTTCCTTTAGGATTGACTAGCTTGACATACTTTCAGTCCAAGGGACTCTCAGGAGTCTTCTCTGGTATCAAAATTTGAAAGTACCAATTCTTTGGCCCTTAGTCTTCTTTACAGTCTAACTCTAATGTCCATACATGACTACTGGAAAAAGAATAGCTTTGACTATATGGAACTTTATTAGCAAAGTGATGTCTCTGCTTTTTAAAACGCTGTCTAGGTTTGTCATAGCTTTTCTTCCAAGGAGCAAGGGTCTTTTAATATTATGGCTGCACCATCAGCAGTGATTTTGGAGCCCAAGAAAATAAAATCTGTCACCGTTTCCATTTTTTCCCCATCTATCTGCCATGAAGTAATGGGACTGGATGCCATGATTTTAGTTTTTTGAATGCTGAGTTTTAAGTCAGCTCTTTCACTCTTCTCTTTCACTTTCATCAAAAGGCTCTTCAGTCCTCTTCACTTTCTACCGTTAGAGTGCTACCATCTGCATGTCTGAGGCTGCTGAAATTTCTCCCAGCACTCTTTATTCCAGCTTGTGATCCATTCAGCCCAGCGTTCTGCATGATGTACTCTGCACAGAAGTTAAAGAAGCAGGGTGACAATATGTAGCCTTGACGTACTCCTTCCCTAACTTTGAACCAGTCTGCTGTTCCATGTGCAGTTCTAACTGTTGCTTCTTGACCCTCATATAGGTTTCTCAGGAGACATGTAAGGTGGTCTTGTATACCCATCTCTTTAAGCATTTTCCACAGTTTGCTGCGATCCACACAAAAGCTTTAATGTAGTCAACGAAGCAGAAGTAGATTCAGGAATTCCCTTGCTTTCTCTATGATCCAACAAATGTTGGCAATTTGATCTCTTGTTCCTCTTTCCCAAACCTAGCTTGTACATCTGGAAGTTTCTGTTTCATGTACTGCTAAAGCCTGGCTTGAAGGATTTTGAGCATAACCTTACTAGCATGTGAAATGAGTGCAACTATTGGTAGTTTGAACACTCTTTGGCATTGTCCTTCTCTGGGATTGGAATGAAAACTGAACTTTTCCAGTCCTGTAGCCTCTGTTGAGTTTTACAAACTTGCTTGCATATTGAGCGCAGCACTTTCACAGCATCCTTTTTTAGGATTTGAAATAGTTCAGCCAGAATTCCATCACCTCCACTAGCTTTGTTGTAGTAATGCTTCCTAAGGCCTACTTGATTTCATACTCCAGGATGCCTGGCTTTTGGTGAGTGACCATATCATCATGGTTATCCAGGTCGTTAAGACCATTTTTGTATAGTTCTATGTATTCTTGCTACCTCTTTTTTTTTTAAAACAAGTGAAATTAGTTTATTTTAGGAACACATTTTATTTAATCCAGTATATCAACATATATTATAGCATGAAATCAATGAAAATTATTGATATAATTTGCATCTTTATTTTTACAGCAAATCTCTGAAATTGTATGTATATTTTATACATAAGAACATCTCAATTTCAACTGGATGTTTTTTCCCTTTGTAAAAAATTTATTTTTAACTGGAAGATAATTGCTTTACAGTGTTGCGTTGGTTTCCGCCAGAGATCAACATGAGTCAGTCACAGGTATACATATGCCCACTCCCTGTTGAACCTGCTTCCTACATCCCACCCCATCCCGCCTCTCTAGGTTTTCACCAAGCCCCTGAATCATAAGGCAAACTCCCACTGGCCATCTATTTTACATACGGTGGTGTGCATGTCTCCATGCTGCTCTCTCCATCTGTCCCATTCTCTCCGTCCCTCACCCCGACCCCGTGCCCACAAGTTTGTTCTGTATATCTGCATCTCCACTGCTGCCCTGAAAGTAGGTTCATCAGTACTATCTTTCTAGATTCCACATATATGCATTAATACATGATACTTGTTTGTCTTTCTGACTTACTGCACTCTGTATAATAGGTTCTAGGTCCATCCACCTCATCAGCACTGACTCTAATGCATTCCTTTTTAAGACTGAGTAATAGTTGCTTATATATACATACCACAGCTTCTTTATCCAATCACCTGCTGATAGACATTTAGAATGTGTCCATGTTCTAGCTATTGTAAATAGTGCTGCAATGAACAGTGGGGTACATGTGTCTTTTTCAATTTTGGTTTTTTCAGGGTATATGCCCAGTACTGGGATTCTTGGGTCATGTGGTAATTTTTATTCCTAGCTTTTTAAGGACTCTCCATACTGTTTTCCATAGTGGTTGTATCAATTACATTTCCACCAACAACTGCCACCTCTGCTTAATCTCCTCTGCTTTTGTTAGGCACCTATCATTCCTGTCCCTGTCCCTTACTGTGTCCATCCTTGGCTGAAATGTTCCCTTGATATCTCCAATTTTCCTGAAGAGATCGTTAGTCTTTCCCATTCTATTTCTCTGCACTGTTCATGTAAGAAGGTCTTCTTATTTCTCTTTGCTCTTCTCTGGGACTGTGCCTTCAGCTGGGTGCATCTTTCCCTTTCACTTCTCTTCTTTCCTCAGCTATTTGTAAAGCCTCCACTTTACCTTCTTGCACTTCATTTCCTTTGGGATGGTTTTGATCATTGCCTCCTGTACGATATTACAAACTTCTGTCCATAGTTCTTCAGGCATTCTGTCTACCAGATCTAATCCCTTGAATCTATACATCACCTCCACTGTATAATCATAACGGATATGATTTAGGTCATACCTGAATGGCCTAGTGGGTTTCCCTACTTTCTTTAATTTAAGCCTGAATTTTTCAATAAGGAGCTCATGATCTGTCATGGTGAAGGAGCCTGCATAACTCAATGAAGCCATGAGCCAAACCACGCAGAGCTGCCCATGATGCCAGTTCATAGTGAAGAGTTCTGACAAAATGTGTTCCTCTGGAGGAGAAAATGGCAAACCACTCCAGGATTCTTGCTGTGAGAACCCCATGAATAGTTTGAAAAGGCAAAAAGATATGACAGGTGAATATCCCAGGTTGGGAGTAGCCCCCTAATGTGCTACCTGAGAAGAGTTGGGGGCAATTACTAATAGCTCCAGAAATAATGAAGTGGCTGGACAAAGGCAGAAATGATGCTCAGTTGTGGATGTGCCTAGTGGTGAACACAGAGTCCAATGCTGTATAATACTGCACAGGAACCTGAAATGTTAGGTCCATGAATCAAGGTAAATTGGACATGGTCAAACAGGAGATGGCAAAGGTGAACACTGACATCTAAAGGAATCAGTGAACTAAAATGGACAGGAATAGGTGAACTTAATTCAGATTACCATTGTATCTACTTCTACAGGCAAGAATGTTTTAGAAGAAACGGAGTAGCCCTCATTGTCAACCAAAGAATTCAAAATGCAGTAACTTGGGTGCAATCTCAAATATGACAGAATGATCTTGATTCATTTCCAAGTCAAACCATTCAATATAACAGTAATCCAAATCCATGCCCCAACCACCGATGCTGAAGAAGCTGAAGTTGAATAGTTCTATGAAGACCTATAAGACCTTCTAGAACTAATGCCAAAAAAAGATGCTCTTTTTCATCATAAGGGATTGGAATGCAAAATAAGAAGTCAAGAGATACTTTAAAGTAACAGATAAGTTTGGCCTTGGAATACAAAATGAAGCAGGGCAAGGCTAACAGAGTTTTGTCAAGAGAACACACTGGTCATAGGCAACAACCTTTTCCAACTGCACAAGAGATGACTCTACATGTGGACATCACCAAATGGTCAGTACCAAAATCAGATTGATTATACTGCAGTCAAAGATGGAGAAGCTGTATATATATGTATCTATCTGTAAAACTGTATATATCTGTAAAACTATCATTTTAAATGAAGGAGACATGAAGAATTTCCTAGACAAACAAAACCTGAAAGCGTTTAACAGCACTAGAAGTCCGAGCTATATATTATCAAGGGTATATCTGCAAAACTGTATATCTATAAAAGTGTATAATATATATGTATATATCTTTAAACTACCTTTTTTTTAAAATGGAGACACGAAGAATGTCCTTGACTAACAAAAAATGAACGAGTTTAATACCACTAGAGGTCTGAGCATCTCAGTGTTCTGCCCTGGTGAGTGCACTGCCTTATAAGAAGTGCTAAAGAGAGTCCAACAAGCAAATGGAAAGAGCATTTAAGAGCAACATAAAACAGTATAAATCTCACAGCAAATACAGAATAATGTAATACTATAAGGATGACACATAAACCACTTTTTAAACCAGTACAAAAGTTAGAGAAAAAAGTATAAAGAGAAAAAAGTATGAAAAAACATAAGTATAAAATCTATAATTATATGCACAATATAAAAGATGCAAATTGTGACATCAATAACATACCAGGTCAGGGATGAGTATAAGTGTAGACTTTTGTATGCAATTGAAGTTATCAGCTTAAAAGAGACTATTATAACTTAAATATTTATATATAAGCTTAACGGTAACCACAAAGAAAATATCTTTTTAAAAAAGAAAGGAATCAAAGTGTATCAATGCAAAAAAAAAAACATCAAATAACAAAGAAAGAGAGTTGCTTGTATATTTTTGAGATTAATCCTTTGTCTGTTGCTTCATTTGCTATTATTTTCTCCCAATCTGAGGGCTGTCTTTTCACCTTGCTTATAGTTTCCTTTGTTGTGCAAAAGCTTTTAAGTTTCATTAGGTCCNGTGAACTTCAGCTTCAGCTTGGGGAGTTTCCCCTGTGAAGGAGGATGCCAAGCTTTTGCAGAAAAGTCTCGGCTCAGCGGTAAAGAATCCACCTGCAATGTTGGAGACATAGAAGACATGGGTTTGATCCTTAGGTCAGGAAAACCCCCTAGAAGAAGAAAATGGCAGAAGAATCTGGTGGGCTACAGTCCAAAGGGTCACAAAGAGTCAGACACGACTGAACAACTAAACAACACACATTTTATTTTCCTCAAGAATGAATATGACATTGAGTATAATTGATTAAATTATATCTTTATGAACAGAAAGTATATACTGCTAAAGAGTTCAAAAAAGATAAATCATCAAATGATAATATTTATTTACAATCTAGATAACCCTAAACCACCAAAACAGAAAAAAAAAAAAAGAAAAGAAAAGAAAAAAAAAAAAACAAAGAAAGAGAGCAACACTAAAAGAAAGGAACAAAAGAACTATAAAACATACAGAAAATAATTAACAAAATGACAACAGTAGGCCCTTACCTATCAATAATAACCATAAATGTAAACTGATTAAACTCTCTAGTAAAAAAAAACATACCATAGCTTAATGGATAAAACAAGATGATCCAACTACATGCTGTCTACAAGAGATTAACTTTAGATTTAACTACACTTCACTGAGAGGCTGAAAGTGAAACATGGAAAAAGATATCCTGCTTTAAATGCACTGGGTATTTACACACACCGAATTTGGGTGTATATAAACACCCAATGCATTTAAATAAATGTATAAAGCAATCACTGACAGATCTGAGCAAGAACAGACATCAATACTATAATAGTAGGAGACTTCAATACTCCAATTTGAATAATCAACAGAATATTCAGAGTGCAAATCACTAAGGAACCATCAGGCATGAACAACACACGGATCAAATGAACTTAACAGATACACAGAATGTTCCATAGAATGTTCCAAATGAACTTAAGATACATAGAATGCTCCAGAGAATGTTCCAATGTTAGCAGAAGAATATGTATTCTTCCCAAGTGCCTACAGACATTCTACAGGATGGATCACAAAACATGTAATTATGAATATAAAAATACTAAATTCAAACGAAGTATATCTTCCAACCACAATGAAATGAACCTACAAATCAATAACAGAAGGAAAATGAAACAATTTACAAATATGTAGAATTTAACACATCCTGGAACCACTGGGTCAAAGAAGGCAAATAAAATATTATGAGACAAATGTAAACAAAACACAAAATACTAAAATTTATAAGATGCAGCAAAAGCAATATTACAAGTTACATTAATGACAATAAAAGCCTACATTAGAAAAAAAGAAAAACAACAAATAAACAACCTAACTTTATATCTGAAGAAACCAGAAAAAGAAAAACAAACGAAACTCAGAAGAAATAAATAAAGAAAAGAAAAAAAATACTAGGGCAGAAAAAAACTAGAAAAGAGAAAAACAGTAGAACAATGATAAAACCACAAGCTGTTTTTTAAAAGATAATCTAAAAAGACAAACTATTACCAAGACTAACAACGAGAAAAAGAGAAAACACTTGAATAAGTCAAATCAGAAATGAAAGGGGACATATTACAACTGATACCACAGAAAGAGAAAAGGTGGTAACGGACTATTGTGAAAAACTATATGCCAATAAATTGAATAAGTTAGAATATATGGCAAGTTCCTATAAACATACAAAACACAGAGACGGAATTAAAAATTAAAAAACCAAAACAAGATAAACAGATCAATTACAAGAAGACTGAACCAGTTATCAAAAACCTACTAGCTAAAAAACTCCAGGACCAGATGTCTAATACATGAATTCTACCAAATATTTAAAGAATTAATACCAAAACTGCTTAAACTTCATTCAAAAAACGGAAGAGTGAACACTTCCAAACTCATTTTGTGAGACCAGTACCACTCTGATACCAAAAGCAAACAAAGACAACAAAATTAAAAATATATATATAATATTACTGATTAACACACGTAAGAATCCTAAACACTAGAAAATCAAATTCAACAACATATTAAAAGGATCATACACCATGACCAAGTGAGATGTATCCCTCAGATGCAAGGATGTTTCAACATACACAAATCAGTCATTAACAGAATGAAAAATAGAAATCACATATTATCACAATAGATGTAGAAAAGCATGATTTCACATCCATTCATAATGAAATTTCTCAGTAAAGTAGGAATATTAGGAACTTACTCAAACACAACACTGCAATTAAGTTCATATAACAAAAATTCCACAGCTAGCATCATATTCAAAAGTGAAAAACTTAAAAGTTTTTTCTCTAAGAGCAGGACAAAGAAAGGATACCCAGTTTGCCACTTTACTTTCAGAGTACTGAAATTCCTAAGGAGAATTAGAAAAGAAAAACAAATAAGAGGCATCTAAATCTGACAGGAAGAAGTAAAATCATCTCTGTTTGCAGACGACATGTTCATATATGCAAGAAACTCTAAGGACTCCACAAAAAAATCTTAGAATTAGCAAATTCAGTAAAAGCTGCATGATATAAAATCAACAGAAGAAAAGCTGCATTTCTATACATAAGCAAGAAACTATCTAAAAAGGAAATCAAGAAAATAATAACATTTACATGAATACCAAGAAAAATAAAATATTTATAAGTAATATGAAGTACAAAAATGAGAGACTTGTACATCAAAAACTATAAAACACTGTTGAGATAATTTTTTTAAATAAATAAATGGAAAGACACCCTACATTCAGATGGAAAAATATTGTTAAAATGTCCAGGATGTCTAAAGGGATCTAGATGTTCAATGCAAAGTTTCCAAATCCCAATGGCATTTCCCCTCCAAAAGAAAAAAAAAAAAAATTCATCTAGAACTACAAAATACACCAAAGAGTCAAAGCAACTTTGAGCAATATAAATAAAGCTGAAAGCATCACATTTCAAATTACTTTACAAAGCTACACTGACCAGAACAATATGATACTGGCATAAAAATAGACATACTGATCAATGAAACAGAATACAGTATTCAGAAATCAACTGGTCTTACACAGAGCGTGAGGGAGTCAAGAATGCACAATGTTGAAAGAATAGTCTCTTCAATAAATTGAAGATTTTCATTCTTCAAATGATTTTCCAGATGAAGAACAAAAGTAGATCTTTATGTTACACCTTACACAAAAATAAATTCAAAATATAATAAAGATTTAAATGTAAGGCATGAAACTAAAATATCTAAGAAAATATTGAGAAAAAAAGTTTGATATTGGGCTTAGCAATGACAACCTGGATATGATACCAAAACACAGGCGAAAAACAGACACATGGGATTACATGAAACTAAAAAGGAACAAGAAAACAAGAAGGCAACCTATGGAATAGGAATGTAGCTGTAAACTTTGCATCAGATAAATGGTTAATTTCCAAAATATATAAGACACAAAAGCAGCAAAAAATAAATAAATAAAATTATCTGAATTTTAAAATAGGCAAAAGAACTGAATAGACATTTCTACAAAAGAAGACTACAAACAGGCAACAGGTATATGAGAAGATTCTTAACAGAACTAAATATCAGGGAGATGGACTCAAAACTATAATGCACTGTTCACCTCACACTTGTCAGGACAATTATCAGAAAAACAAAAGACAAGGTGTAGGTAAGGATGTGTAAAAAAGGGAATCCTTACACTTTGCTGGCATAAATATAAACTGATGCAGCCACTACAGAAAACAGAACAGAGATTTCCTAAAAAGTTAAAGACAAAATTACATATGATCTAGCAATTCAATTTCTGGGTATATATCTAAAGAAATTGAAATCAGGAACATTGTCATATTCACTATTCACAGTAGCCAAGACATAGGAGCAAGTTAAAAGTCTATGACTGAACAGATATATAAAATATGTGCCATATACATACAATGGAATCTTGCATAGTCACATAACACAAGAAATTCTAAGGACATAGCTGAACTCAACAACACCATGAACTCAATTGTTATAAATGACTTCTACAGACTGATTCATACATCAGGAGAATATACATTCGCCTCAAGCTCAAAGCAAACTTTCACCATGACAGATCACATTCTCCATTACAGCACACACCTTGAATTTATAAGAACAGAAATCATACAATGTCTGCTTTCAGATCACAATGGAATTAAACTAGAAGTTAATGAGGAAATTAAACAACACACCTCTAACACACGGGTCAAAGAAGTTATCTCAAGGCAAATTTTCAAAAAGTGTTTTGAAAATTGTTAACTTTAACAAAATACTACTAATAACAAAATTTGTGAGATACTAAATAGCATTCATAGATTAAGAAATAGAGAAATAAGATTGCTTTCTGTTCTCAGTGCTGCAAAATTTAACTATTTCAAAGGTAAAGGAAAAAATATATCCCAGGTATAAAAGTAACCTGCAAGGATGTTTTTACAATGGAAATACAGGGTTACATATAAATAGGTGACTTAAACTGTCTTTTAGCAGGCTCAGTTAGCTACTCAGTGGTGTCCGACTCTTTGAAGCCCCTGGACTGTAGCCCGCCAGGCTCCTCTGCCCACGGGATTCTCCAGGCAAGGATACTGGAGTGGGTGGCAATCTCCTTCTCCAGGGGATCTTCCCGACCCAGGGGCTGAACCCAGGTCTCCTGCACTGCAGGTCGAGCCTTTACCATCTGAGCCACCAGAAAGCCCTTCAGGAGGCTTGGTGAGCACCAATTTAAGAAATCATTCTCCTGTCAATGTCACTGGGTAAACATAATAAATACTGACCTAGGAAATATGCATTACCTACGACTTTCATAGGGGATCGTCACAGCCATCACAATGTAAATTATTTTATATCCTAAATATTTTAAAATATGATTTTAAATAAAGTGTTCAGGGTCACTGTGATTCCCAGGTGGCACTAGTGGTAAAGAATCCGCCTGCAATATACTGAGACCTGGGTTCAATCCCGGGCTTGTGAAGATCTCCTAGAGAAGGGAATGGGTACCCACTCCAGTATTCTTGCCTGGAGAATTCCACGGACAGTGGAGCCTAGCAGGCTACAGTCCATGGGGTTGCAAAGAGTCAAACATGACTGAGTGACTAACACTTTCACTTTCAGGATCATTGAAGAGTAATTTGAAGTAGAAAAATCTGCCATGTATTTACTGAGCATAAATAAAATGTTTAGTATAATGTAAAAGAGAAACTAAACTAAACTGCTGCTGGGAATTACAGTGTAATTTTCACCCTAAGCATAGATACAAGATGCCTGGGTACAGTTAATAAACAGTATAGATCAAATTTATTATTTAGGATGAACAGTAGTAACACAGAGAGAATTCTATCTGATTATCAGTTATAAATTAATTTGCAAGAGCAAATAAGACCTTATAAATGGGAAAATCCAATTTCCTAATATAATCAGTTAAAAATGCTAAATTTAAAAGCATTTCATAAAAATATTCTACTAAATTCTTATTTATTATTTGATGATATTTGATGAAGCACAGCCGAGAGGAGCTACCCCACGCCCTAGGTCAGGGGCAGCAGCTGTGCTTTGCTGGAGCAGCCATGAAGAAATAACCCACATCCAAGATAAAAGAAAACCAAGTAGGATGGTAGGCGCTGAAAGAGGGCATCAGAGGGCAGACACACTAAAACCATAATTACAGAAAACTAGCCAATCTGATCACAGGACCACAGTCATGTCTAACTCAATGAAACTAAGCCATGCCATGTGGGGCCACCCAAGACGGTCGGGTCATGGTGGAGAGGTCTGACAGAACGTGGTCCAATGGAGAAGGGAATGGGAAACCACTTCAGTATTCTTGCCTTGAGAACCCCATGAACAGTATGAGAAGGCAAAAAGACAGGACACTGAAAGAGGACATCCCCAGGTTGGTGGGTGCCCAATATGCTGCTGGAGATCCGTGGAGAAATAACTCCAGAAAAGAATGAAGGGACGGAGCCAAAGAGAAAACAATACCCAGTTGTGTATGTGACCGGTGATAGAAGCAAGGTTCAATGCTGTAAAGAGCAATATTGCATAGGAACCTGGAATGTTAGGTCCATGAATCAAGGCAAATTGGAAGTGGTCAAACAGGAGATGGCAAGAGTGAACATCGACATTCTAGGAATCAGTGAACTAAGATGGACTGAAAAGGGTGAGTTTAACTCAGATGACCATTATATCTACTACTGTGCATAGGAATCCCTTAGAAGTAATGGAGTAGCCATCATGGTCAACAAAAAAGTCTGAAATGCAGTACTTGGATGCAATCTCAAAAAATGAGAGAATGATCTCTCTTCATTTCCAAGGCAAACCATTCAATATCACAGTAATCCAAGCCTGTGCCCTGAACAAAACGCTGAAGAAGCTAAATTGAATGGTTCTATGAAGACCTACAAGCCCTTTTAGAACTAACACCCCAAAAAGATGTCCTTTTCATGATAGGGGACTGGAATGCAAAAGTAGGAAGTCAAGAAACACCTGTAGTAACAGGTAAATTTGGCCTTGGAGTACAGAATGAAGCAGGACAAAGGCTAATAGAGTTCTGCCAAGAGAACACACTGGTCATAGCAAATACCCTCATCCAACAACACAAGAGAAGAGTCTATATACATGGACATCACCAGATGGTCAACACCAAAATCAGAATGATTACATTCTTTGCAGCCAAAGATGGAGAAGCTCTATACAGTCAGCAAAAACAAGACTGGGAGCTGACTGTGGCTCAGATCATGAACTCCTTATTGCCAAATTCAGACTGAAATTGAAGAAAGTAGGGAAAACCACTAGACCATTCAGGTATGACCTAAATCAAATCCCTTATGACTATACAGTGGAAGTGAAAAATAAATTTAAGGGACTAGATCTGATAGACAGAGAGCCTGATGAACTATGGACGGAGGTTCGTGACATTGTACAGGAGACAGGGATCAAGACCATCCCCATGGAAAAGAAATGCAAAAAGGCAAAATGATTGTCTGAGGAGGCCTTACAAATAGCTGTGAAAA